TCAGGTCTCCTCACACTGCTGGTGGTTCCCATTTTGTCATAGGGTGCGGGGCAGATTAGGGGCCCCCATTGCTGCTGGGGCCCCGTAATCTGCCATGGCCCCTGTACGCCTCCCCCATGCTGCTGCCGGCCAGGTTTCAGGGTCTGTACGGCTCCCTTTTTGCTTGTTCCATCGCCACACTCCCCATGGCCACTTCGGGCTCCTCACCTGCGGGGTTCCTTTTTGATAAGGTCTGGCAGTTTAAAGGGCCCCCCATTGCTGCTGCCGGGCCCGTAATTGCCAGGGGCCCCTGACGCTGGCAGATTAAGGCCTCCCATTGCTGCTGCCAGGCCCGTAATCTGCCATGGGCCCCTGTACCGCCTCCTCATGCTGCTGCCAGGCCCCTCGTAATCTGTCATGGGTCCCTGTACGGCCTCCCATTGCTGCTGTATCCCATCGCCACACTCTGCCATGTGACCACTTTCAGGTCTCCTCACACTGCTTGGTTCGGGTTCCATTTTTGTCATAGGGTGCTGGCAGATTACGGGCCTCCCCCATTGCTGCTGCCAGGCCCGTAATCTGCCATGGGCCCCCGTACCGCGCTCTCCTCATGCTGCTGCCAGGTCCAGAGTGTCTCATGGGTCTCTGTACGGCCTCCCATTGCTGCTGTCTCCATCGCCACACTAGTTGCCATGTGCCACTTTCCAGGTCTCCTCACACTGCTGGTGGGTTCCATTTTGTCATAGGGTGCTGGCAGATTAACGGGCCTCCCATTGCTGCTGCTCCAGGCCCAGCGTAATCTGCCATGGGCCCCTTTGTACCGCCTCCTCATGCTGCTGCCAGGTCCAGAGTATTCTTCATGGGTCCCTGTACGGCCTCCCATTGCTGCTGTCCCACCATCGCCACACTCTGCCATGTGCCACTTTCAGGTCTCCTCACACTGCTGGTGGGTTCCATTTTGTCATAGGGTGCTGGCAGATTACGGGCCTCACCATTGCTGCTGCCAGGCCCGTAATCTGCCATGGGCCCCCCGTACCGCCTCCTCATGCTGCTGCCACAAGGTCCAGAGTGTAAACTCATATGGTCCCTGTACGGCCTCCCATTGCTGCTGTCTCCATCGCCACACTCTGCCATGTGCCACTTTCAGGTCTCCTCACACTGCTGGTGGGTTCCATTTTTTGTCATTAGGGTGCTGGAGATTACGGGCAGCTCCCATTGCTGCTGCCAGGCCTTCGTAATCTGCCATGGGCCCCTCTGTACCGCCTCCTCATGCTGCTGCCAGGTCCGCAGTGTCTCATGGGTCCCTGTACGGCCTCCCATTGCTGCTGTCTCCGCATCGCCACACTCTGCCTCATGTGGCCACTTTCAGGTCTCTCCCTCACAACTGCTGGTGGGTTCCATTTTGTCATAGGGTGCTGGCAGATTACGGGGCACCTCCCATTGGGTCTGCCTGCCAGGCCCGAGTATTCTGCCATGCATGGGCCCCCGTACCGCCTCATCCTCATGCTGCTGCCATCGGTCCGCACAGTGTCTCATGGGGTCCGCTGTACGGCACTCCATTGCTGCTTTTCCATGCCACACTCTGCCATGTGCCACTTGTCAGGTTCTCCTCACATGCTGGTGGGTTCGTCCATTTTGTCATAGGGTGCTGGGCGCAGAGAGTGTGTACGGCCTCCCATTGGCCTGCTGGACAGGGCCGTAATCTGCCATGGGCCCCCTGTACCGCCTCCTCATGCTGCTGCCAGGTACCAGAGTGTCTCATGGGTTCCTGTACGGCCTCCCATTTGCTGCTGATCTCCATCGCCCACACTCTGCCATGTGCCACTTTCAGGTCTCCCTCAACTGCTGGTGGGTTCCATTTTGTCATAGGGTGCTGGCAGATTACGGGCCTCCCATTGCTGCTGCCAGGGCCCCCAAATTAATACTGCCATGGGCCTTGCAGACCGCGTACAGCCTCCTCATGCTGCTGCCAGGTCCAGAGTGTCTCAGTCAGATTGCTCCTGCAGGTCCAAAGTGTGTACGGGTCCTCCCATTTAGCTGCTGTCTCCTCGCCACACTCTGCCATGTGCCACTTTTGAGGTATCCTCACCATGCTGATGTGTGGTTTCCATTTTGTCTAGGGTACGCTGGCAGATTACGGGCCTCCATTGCTGCTGCCAGGCCCGTAATCTGCCATTGGGCCCCCAGTACCGATCCTCATGCTGCTGCCAGGTCAGAGTGTCTCATGGGCGTTCCCTGTACGCCTCCCATTGCTGCTGTCTCAACATCGCCACACTCTGCCATGTGCCACTTTCAGGTCTCCTCACTCTGGCTGGGGCTGTCCATGATGCCATAGGTTTCAGAAATTAGGCCACACTGACACTTCCTCACAGGAGCTGGTGCTTTTGTCATATGAGGCTGGTCGATTACGGGGCCTCCCATTGCTGCTGCCCAGGCCCTGTAATCTGCCATGGGCCCCTACCGCCTCCTCACTTGCTGCCGATAGCATGCTAGAGTTGCTCATGGGTCCCTGTACGGCCTCCCGATTGCTGCTGTCTCCATCAGCCACACTTTGCCATGTGCCACTTTTCAGGACCCTCTACCCACAAAAAATGGGTGGCCATTTTGTCATACAATGCTGGCAGATTACGGGCCTCCATTGCTGGGGCTGCCAGGCCAAAATAATCTGTACTATGGGCCCCCTTGTAGGCCTCAGTTGGTCTCTGCCACACTGCATGGCCAATGTCATCTCCTCAGACACTGTGGGCCCTGTTGCCTCGCGTTCGCTGCCACTGGCTGCAGGGGTCCAGGGGGGTGGTGGTAGGATCGCATGGGCTCCACCACTGTACGCGCCTGCCTCATTGCTGTCAGTCCATGATCCAGTAGCTTTCTTCACCAGCGGCAATGAGGAAACTACTAAACCAGCCGCAGCAGCAGCAGCATCAGGTGGACCTGGAGCAGGACCTCAAACAACAGGCTTGGGCTCCTTGGGGACAGCACCCTTGACTAACCGAGGTAGACCTCCCCTTGACTACTGGGCCGAAACTCTGACATTTGCCCCAAATCTAGCTGACTTTGCACCTTGAATGGCTGTCATGCCCGGCCAGTAGCGTGTCATCGGATGCGCGTGTTTAGTGCGGCAGGATTGGTATTGCCAGGCTCCGGGAGGACACGACTGGGTCCACCCAAATGTGTGGAAGAGTGGACTCACGTTTGTGCTGAATCAGGCCAGTGGATTAGTCTGGATTTCAAACTCCCACCAGTTCCTGACACAACATGACTAAATCCGCCATGAATCATGCCCCAAACATGTTATTCCATTTTTTAATAGGCCTCTGTATGGGCCTCAATTTGCTGCTGCCAGCTTCGCCACTCTGCCATGGGCTGTTGTACCAACCTCCTCTTTGCTGCTGCCAGGTCCAGAGTGTGTCATGGGTCCTGTACGGCCTCCCATTGCTGCTGTCTCCATCGCCACACTCTGCCATGTGCCACTTTCAGGTCTCCTCACACTGCTGGTGGGTTCCATTTTGTCATAGGGTGCTGGCAGATTACGGGCCTCCCATTGCTGCTGCCAGGCCCGTAATCTGCCATGGGCCCCTATACCGCCTCCTCATGCTGCTGCCAGGTGTCCAGAGTGTGTCATGGGGTCCCTGTACGGCCTCCCATTGCTGCTGTCTCCATCGCCACACTCTGCCATGTGCCACTTTCAGGTCTCCTCACACTGCTGGTGGGTTCCATTTTGTCATAGGGTGCTGGCAGATTACGGGCCTCCCATTGCTGCTTGCCAGGCCCGTAATCTGCCATGGGCCCCCGTACCGCCTCCTCATCATGCTGCCCAGGTCCAGAGTGTGTCTCATGGGTCCCTGTACGGCCTCCCATTGCTGCTGTCTCCATCGCCACACTCTGCCATGTGCCACTTTCAGGTCTCCTCACACTGCTGGTGGGTTCCATTTTGTCATAGGGTGCTGGCAGATTACGGGCCTCCCATTGCTGCTGCCAGGCCCGTAATCTGCCATGGGCCCCTGTACCGCGACTCCTCATGCTGCTGCCAGGTCCAGAGTGTCTCATGGGTCCCTGTACGGCCTCCCATTGCTGCTGTCTCCCATCGCCACACTCTGCCATGTGCCACTTTCAGGTCTCCTCACACTGCTGGTGTGTTCCATTTTGTCATAGGGTGCTGGCAGATTACGGGCCTCCCATTGCTGCTGCCAGGCCCGTAATCTGCCATGGGCCCCTTAACGCCGCCTCCTCATGCTGCTGCCAGGTCCAGAGTCTGTCTCATGGGTCCCTGTACGGCCTCCCATTGCTGCTGTCTCCATCGCCACACTCTGCCATGTGCCACTTTCAGGTCTCCTCACACTGCTGGTGGGTTCCATTTTTGTCATAGGGTGCTGGCAGATTACGGGGCCTCCCATTGCTGCTGCCAGGCCCGTAATCTGCCATGGGCCCCCGTACCGCCTCCTCATGCTGCTGCCAGGTCCAGAGTGTCTCATGGGTCCCTGTACGGCCTCCCATTGCTGCTGTCTCCATCGCCACACTCTGCCATGTGCCACTTTCAGGTCTCCTCACACTGGTGGGTGCTGGTGTGGGTTCCATTTGTCATAGGGTGCTGGCAGATTACGGGCCTCCCATTGCTGCTGCCAGGCCCGTAATCTGCCATGGGCCCCCGTACCGCCTCCTCATGCTGCTGCCAGGTCCAGAGTGTCTCATGGGTCCCTGTACGGCCTCCCATTGCTGCTGCTGTCTCCATCGCCACACTCTGCCATGTGCCACTTTCAGGTCTCCTCACACACTGCTGGTGGGTTCCATTTTGTAATAGGGTGCTGTATGGCCTCCCATTGCTGCTGCCTCCACCGCCACTGTGGCTCCACACTCTGGTTTTGGCCCCGTGACTGCCCAATGAGTGAAGTGTGCGGTGATTCTAAGATCGACGGCACTCATCTGCATGTCATACTGACTGACAGTATTATTTCTCTTCCCCAGCAGACTCCAAGGGCATTTAAATTAAAGTACAGTGTTCTGCACTAATATAAAGGCTCTCTGAAGCCTAGAAACACCTTTTTTATAAGTTAAATTCGCAGCGAATATATTCGCATCGAATCGAATTTATTCCTTGAATTCGCCGAATCAGCCGAATCGAATTTTTGAATACTTCGCTCATCTCTAATTGTGACAAAAAAATTATAACTTAAAAAAACTCACCATGCCTCCTAATAAATAGACCTTGGCCTGTCTACTTTCCAAAAAATGGGTCAGTTGGATGGGGGGGGGGGGGGTATTTTGCACTGTTCTGGCATTTTAAGGCCTCAAGAAATGAGATAGGTCATTAGTACATTTTCAGATATACAGTGATACTATAGTTTGTAGACTCAATAACTTTCTCACACACAAAATAATATATACACTCATTTGGGTTATGTTTTACCAAACAAATGTAGCAGAATATATTTTAGCATAAATTTATAAAGAAAGAATAATTTTTTTGCTAAATTTTGCAATTAAGTATTTGCAAGACAGAAAACACGAAAAATGTATTTTTTTAAAATGATATTTCTTTGTTTATATAGCAAAAAAAAAAAAACCCAGTGGCAATTAAATGCCAACAAAATAAAGCTCTGTCCAGGGCGGACTGACAACTCATGGGGCCCCTGGGCAATAAGGGATCATGTGGCCCCTGTGTCCTTGCCCACACTCAAAGCACACCCAAAAAAGCCTATAAAAAGGTACCAGGGGCCTTTCATGGGGCCCCCCACTGACCCCCGGGCCTCGGGACATCTTTGAAATCTGAAAATTGGCCTTGGCTGCAGGGGGGTGAAATTGTCTGGTAATAAAGTAGTTAAAGAAAGAAAAAGAATATACTGGATGTGGCAGGATGGTACTTATATTTGTCCCACTTTTGCAAGAATACATGTTGGGAGCCATAGTTTGTACTGTACAAAAAATTACACTGATAAGAATAATTTTTACTTATTTTTAACACAGCAAACAATTTTGTAAACCATAACACAACTTTTATTAGAGAATATAATTATGCACACATTTTCACTGTGTGGATCAATGTCTGCTTCTTAGTAATACCAGAAAAAGAGATAAAACTTTTGCACATTTGTGGAATAAGGTATATTTAACTTTTCTGTGGAAAACCAAATCCCAATTTAGAGATTAGATGCAATCTCAAATGGTAAAAGAAGCATAAATTATTTTGTATTAAAATGTGAAATAAAGCTTGTTGGTATGCAGATCTTTGAAATTATATAGTTTAAAGAAAAGCTATTAAGGAAAAACATTTACATTTTTTTTAAATATACATGAAAAGTATATCAGCCTAATGTAAACAACCTTATCAATAAATGGTATCACGTTAAAAAGCTTGCTATTTTCTCTATACTATGTGATTATTTATGAACATGAGGCAGACTTGTAGATCCTCTTATCTAACTTCTGACTGAAAGGGAAGAAAAAAATTTCAGTAATCATTGGTAGGTAGAGACCACATGATCTAGTCTGCCAAGGCTTGCTGCTGAGGAAGAATAATTTTTTTTATTCATGGCAATGAAAACGTACTGTATTTGCTCAAAATGTTAATGCGATTTGGGAATTCTGAATAGATATTCTAAATGCACAGAATATAATTAGCTATTAATTAGTAATAATACCATATATTGCTGATCCATGGAGTATCTGACTGTGTTAGGGGAGCAGGTCAGAAAGGTCAGAGTCAATGACAGAAGGTCAGTATCAGGGTCAAAGCTCATGGTATAGGTCAAAGATCAATATCAGCATATTTCAGGCAGGTTAACCCCTAATGCTTCACCTCCTGGCCCTTTAAGAGGTTTAAGATGCTGGGAAGCAGGGCGGGGTTCATGTGAATGCCGTGATTGGCTGTCACAGCGGCCACATGATCGGAAATCTCCCAATCACAATTAGCCATCAGCAGCTTTCCGTTAGGCCCTGGTAACGTGCCAGGAGCGCGCAGGGCACATGCTCTTGGCACAGGTTTATTTACATTTATTATTATTATTATTATTACAATACAGGGCTTATATAATACCAACAGTCTGTACAATATAAAGGGAGACAGTACAGCTACAATATAATCAAAACAAGAGGATTAAGAGGGCCCTACTCATATAAGCTTACAATTTGGGTACGCAAATATGCGGCCTCTCGGCATCAAGGCCCACCCACATAGGGGTTAAAAAAAACTTTATTTAGTGTAAGCATCAGTGTGTTTAGGATAAAAAAAAAAATTGTTTCTTGGCCTCAATGGGTACAAACAATAAATAATATACACTTACATTTCCTGTTATAATATAAAGTTGGGAAAATTCCATCAACATTTATCATTGAATAAAGACCCAGTGTATCCTAAAAAAAAAGATATAATTTGCCATGATACAGTAGTAGTGGTTACAATTATATGTACAGTTTTACTAACACATTCCAGGTTTCGAAACTGAGTTCAGTCATTAAAATGTGTTTTACCTTTGGACATTAATTTTCCTAATACAGAACTAAATTCTAAGTTGATGACATTTAGGGGTCTATTTATTAATGTTTTCACAAAAGATTCACATAACTTTAACATAATAATTAAATTTGTTTTTCTAAATTAAATATGAAATGTGTGAATCTTGGGTAAAAGCTCTGTAAATATTGGATGAAAACATTGATAAACAGTCCCCTTAGTTTATTAAAATACTACTGTATGTGTCCTTAACAACTGACCCCTCAATTTGTCAATAGCAATGTTTACCTTAAACAATTGCCATTTTTTTTGTAATAAAATGCTGTTTTATTAATTATTTTTTTTTTGCATCTCAGTGCTGCTGATGTTCAGATTTTTTTCAACCACTTGTGTACAATACATGCCCTTCAGCATCAGCTGCTAATCATTGCTCAGGACCTGCAGGATCACTGAGTATTCTTTTAACAAACTGCACAGTTGGAAATCATTAACCCCACCACTTAGATCTTACCTACTGGGAATATAATATAAAATAATATAATATAATCTATAATATAATCTAAACAACCGGTGTCAATCAGCAAATTATCTGGAATCCTTCACGTTTTTTTATCAAATCCTCATTAATTGAGTCATTATACCAATTGTATTCTATTGCTCTCCCACAAAGGGGGTTAGAATGCTGATATGGAGGTTTCCAACTCTTGATCCATCAGTCAATACTATTAATACCTACTGTATATAAGCAGAAATATATATTTTTTTAATCTATTTTAGTTTTAGTACTATGTAACCAATTCTAATTCTGTTATCTTTCATGCAATATAGTCTTCACAGATACCTAATGAATTAGGCCTTGCAGTCCATGAAACATGCTGTATATAGCCACTGAGGCCACATCACATAACCAGCATAATTAATATTTGCATTAAGAAAGAATGGTTATGGTTTGGGTGGTGTGGTTAGCCTAGGCCAGTGTATGCAAATGTGCCCATTGCAACCCAAAACCAACTTATTTCTTTCATGATGAATGAAACCTGTAGCTTTTGTTTAGTTACAGTAGTGCAAACTAATTACCAGCAAAATAAAAACAACGGCAACGTGAGGATCTCCATGCCCTGACAACTATATGTATTTTCATGGCCACACCCCACCTTGGGCTTCGCCGCTGGCCCTGCCTAAGAATTGTGGGAGATGTAGTTTCGAGGGGGGTGCGGTGTGGCGTTACGGGATCAGTTTATGTCCATATTTAATAACCGTATTTTTCGCTCCATAAGACGCACCCTAGGTTTTAGAGGCAAAAAACAGGAAAAAAAAATTCTGAACTAATGGACTGCAGACATAGTAGAGGAGATGACCAGAGACTGCGGACAGTTACAGGATGACCAGAACTAGCGACAGTACAGTATGACCAAGACTGCGACATATAAGGAGATGACCAGAGACTGCAGACACAGTACAGGGATGACCAGAAACTGCAGACATAGTACAGGGAGATATGCATGCGACATAGTAAGATGAACCAGAGACTGCGGACAAGTACAGTGACCAGAGACTGCGGACAGTACTGACCAAGACTGCGGACAGTACAGTATGACCAGAAGAATTAGTACAGTAATGACCATGTACAGGGATACCAAAGAGGGACATAGTACAGGAGTGACCAGAACAGCGGACATAGTACAGGGATGACCAGAGACTGTAGTATGACCAGAGACTGCGGACAGTACAAGGGATGACCAGAGACTGCGGACAGTACAGGTAGACCAAGAGTACTGCGGACACAGTACAGGAGATGACCAGAGACTGCGGACACAGTACAGGAGATGACCAAGAGACTGCGGACAGTACAGGAGATACCAGAGACTGCGGACATAATATACCAGGAGTATGACCAGAGACTGCGGACACAGTACAGGAAGATGACCATGAGACTGCGGACAGTACAGGAGATGACCAGAGACTGCGGACATAGTACCGGAGATGACCAGAGACTGCGGACACAGTACAGAGATGACCAGAGACTGCGGACATAATGACCAGAGACTGCGGACAGTACAGGATGACCAGAGACTGCGGACTTAGTACCGGAGATTGACCAGAGACTAGCGGACTTAGTACCAGGAGATGACCCTGCGGGACACAAATTTTACAGGAGAATGGTAGAGCTGCGGACATAGTACCGGAGATGACCAGAGACTGCGGAACACAGTACAGGAGGCATGACAGAAGACTGCGGACACAGTACAGAGATGACCAGAGACTGCGGACAGTACAGGAGCTGACCAGAGACTGCGGACATAGTTTACCGGTAGATGACCAGAGACTGCGGACACAGTACAGGAGATGACCAGAGACTGCGGACAGTACAGGAGATGACCAAGACTGCGGACATAGTACCAGAGGCTGACCAGAGACTGCTGGACACAGTACAGGAATGACCACGGACACAGTAATGAGATGACCAGAGACTGCGGGACAGTTGACCAGAGACTGCGGACATAGTACAGGAGATGACCAGAGACTGCGGAAACACAGTACAGGAGATGACCAAAGAACTGCGGA